TCTCATCCTACGCTGCAGCCCCCCATCCTACTCTGCGTCCCCTCATCCTACGCTGCGTCCCCTCATCCTACGCTGCGTCCCCTCATCCTACGCTGCGTCCCCTCATCCTACGCTGCGTCCCGTCATCCTACGCTACGTCCCGTCATCCTACGCTGCGTCCCGTCATCCTACGCTACGTCCTGTCATCCTACGCTATGTCCCCTCATCATCAGTACTCAGTGCTGTGCAGTCAGATTGACCAGCTGATCAAAGCACATTAGAGTATCAAGTCTCCATTCATGCAGAGAGACTGCGACTTCCACTATTACTGTTCCAGGATCCAGTTACCAGCTCTCTCCCCAGTGTCCACATCCCCGTGTGGCAGCTCTCTCCCCAGTCTCCACATCCCCGGGTGGCAGCTCTCTCCCCAGTCTCCACATCCCCGGGTGGCAGCTCTCTCCCCAGTCTCCACATCCCCGGGTGGCAGCTCTCTCCCCAGTCTCCACATCCCCGGGTGGCAGCTCTCTCCCCAGTCTCCACATCCCCGGGTGGCAGCTCTCTCCCCAGTCTCCACATCCCCGGGTGGCAGCTCTCTCCCCAGTCTCCACATCCCCGGGTGGCAGCTCTCTCCCCAGTCTCCACATCCCCGGGTGGCAGCTCTCTCCCCAGTCTCCACATCCCCGGGTGGCAGCTCTCTCCCCAGTCTCCACATCCCCGGGTGGCAGCTCTCTCCCCAGTCTCCACATCCCCGGGTGGCAGCTCTCTCCCCAGTCTCCACATCCCCGGGTGGCAGCTCTCTCCCCAGTCTCCACATCCCCGGGTGGCAGCTCTCTCCCCAGTCTCCACATCCCCGGGTGGCAGCTCTCTCCCCAGTCTCCACATCCCCGGGTGGCAGCTCTCTCCCCAGTCTCCACATCCCCGGGTGGCAGCTCTCTCCCCAGTCTCCACATCCCCGGGTGGCAGCTCTCTCCCCAGTCTCCACATCCCCGGGTGGCAGCTCTCTCCCCAGTCTCCACATCCCCGGGTGGCAGCTCTCTCCCCAGTCTCCACATCCCCGGGTGGCAGCTCTCTCCCCAGTCTCCACATCCCCGGGTGGCAGCTCTCTCCCCAGTCTCCACATCCCCGGGTGGCAGCTCTCTCCCCAGTCTCCACATCCCCGGGTGGCAGCTCTCTCCCCAGTCTCCACATCCCCGGGTGGCAGCTCTCTCCCCAGTCTCCACATCCCCGGGTGGCAGCTCTCTCCCCAGTCTCCACATCCCCGGGTGGCAGCTCTCTCCCCAGTCTCCACATCCCCGGGTGGCAGCTCTCTCCCCAGTCTCCACATCCCCGGGTGGCAGCTCTCTCCCCAGTCTCCACATCCCCGGGTGGCAGCTCTCTCCCCAGTCTCCACATCCCCGGGTGGCAGCTCTCTCCCCAGTCTCCACATCCCCGGGTGGCAGCTCTCTCCCCAGTCTCCACATCCCCGGGTGGCAGCTCTCTCCCCAGTCTCCACATCCCCGGGTGGCAGCTCTCTCCCCAGTCTCCACATCCCCGGGTGGCAGCTCTCTCCCCAGTCTCCACATCCCCGGGTGGCAGCTCTCTCCCCAGTCTCCACATCCCCGGGTGGCAGCTCTCTCCCCAGTCTCCACATCCCCGGGTGGCAGCTCTCTCCCCAGTCTCCACATCCCCGGGTGGCAGCTCTCTCCCCAGTCTCCACATCCCCGGGTGGCAGCTCTCTCCCCAGTCTCCACATCCCCGGGTGGCAGCTCTCTCCCCAGTCTCCACATCCCCGGGTGGCAGCTCTCTCCCCAGTCTCCACATCCCCGTGTGGCAGCTCTCTCCCCATTACTAGCTTTGTCCACCATTTTGCTTTTATTTCTGGTCTACAATCAACTCCCAATTTTGCTCCTGTTTCCACTTCTCACAGTCCACCATCAACAAAGTAATCTTCCGCTCCTCCTCCCCTCTCCACCAATCAGAAACACTTAGCTGCCATTCTGCCTCACTTCTCCCAACCATCATCTTTCCATCAGACCCCCCAACCCACTTTATATATTCCCCCAATTGTCCATAATCCGCACCTGCTCTGCTCCTTACCCCCAATCAGATCGCACTTTCCACCATCTTGGATCCTGTTCTGCCTTCTCATCTCTGCTTTGCTTCCCGAAAACCTATCGCCATGTTCTACTTCTCCTCTTCCTTAGACTGAAAGTAACTCCTCCTCATAGTTCGGCTCAGGTGAGCGAACACACAGTGTTGATCGCTCACTTCTCGATCATCTCCGTGCAGAGAGCAACAACTGTCAGTCACGGCTCCCTGCAGAGATTCCCCCCTCCCCCGCTCTGATCGGCAGGACGGGGGAGGGGGCGGGCACAGCTGGCTCTGCCTGTAGATAGGCAGAGCCAGCTGTCAATCACACAGCTGGGTGGATCCAGAGAGTAATGTCGGGATCCGCACCGGCTGCGGCGTCTCAGCATACCGCGAGCTGTAGCTCCCTATATACTGAGCCTAGGGTGACGGGAGGACGCTATTATAGTCCTCCCGTGACCCGTAAGAGAACTATGGGGAAAAACACTTACTCCATAGTTCTCTTTGAAGCATCACAAGCCCAGAGCTCTGAGCCTTGTCTACACAAGCTTGTATCCTGATCCTGAATCCCAGTCCTGCCTTACCTTGGCTCTTTAATCCTATACCTGTATTTATCTTGTATTACTTCCAGTCTTGTACCTTGGCATCAGTCAGTACTTCTTGTTCCTGGGGGCCAGCCTGTGGCATCACCTGATCAGGGCAAATCGTTTAATGGGGGCATCCAAGTACCGGTAGGCGTGGTGAAGCAACTTGTCGCTATTGGCTCTGACAGCGTGTGTCCACAGCTGGCCCTGACACTAAGCCTCCTCTGCACGCCCTGGCCCACAATCCTTTGCTGTTGTCCTTTATCTACATCTCCCCCAATGACCCTAATCTCCCCCGATCCATGATTAGCTACCAGCGCCCACCCATTTAGCTGCGATTGGTTCCTCTGCCATCAGCTTTCACTCTGTTGACCCCCCATAATCAGTCCATGTGAGAAGGTACAACTATTCAGAGATGTTTCCAGCTACAATATTGCTGGATTGGACACTCAGTGTGCACCAATATATTGTGAATCCCTCACAGGCAATAAAGAACAATAAGGGGTACACATATGACTGCAGACATTGGATTACATTCATTTCAGGGGTACACATATGACTGCAGACATTGGATTACATTCATTTCAGGGGTACACATATGACTGCAGACATTTTGGAACTCCAAAGGAAGATGTACAACAAAGACACTGAATAGGGAAACCTGGAGAATCTAAAATGAAAGAAGATCTCCACTACCTGTCTCTCCAACCCGCAGGATGTCACACAGGGTGAGACTCAGGTGAATGCTGCTTCGAGCAAAGGGGCACACGTGCTTATCCTCCCGGCTGCTGTTTTCAAGGACAAACTGTGAACAGAGCATAAGTTTATGTCAAATGCCCTGCACACTCATCCAATAGGACCACCAGTTCAGTGCCAATCACTTACCCGGCTGTAAGCGCTGGGACAGCGTGTTGAGAAATACACCATGTTATCCAGAGCCAATAGTCCTGGTGGGGTAAGAGCGAGGTCTTGCCACGGGCTGACATTGTTCTGAACAGAATTCAAGAGATGTTTACCAGAAAGCTAGAATTAACTCCTATTGGTAGACACCTGGTACATACCTGTCATATAAATGTGCACCTGAGACCCCCTCCCCCACCCTATGCTAGACGTCCTCCAGTACAAACCTGC